GGGCGCTATTCTTAAGTACATTGCAAGCAAGTCTCCAGCGAGAGCGCGACTCCATATCGCCGAGAAAGCGATTCCTGCATAAGTTATCACAAAGTCCCAAGCGAGAGCGCGATTCCTGAATATAATGCGAGGAAGTCTCAGGCGGGAGCGAGGGTCCTGGGTACATTGTGAGGACGTCTCAGGCAGGAGCCGTTGTTGTTGTAACCCGGGAGCCAACAAATCAAGTTGAAGACGAAGACTTTCCTTGATAAAAACAATGTGCGAGCGCCGGGAGGGGCACTTCAATTAAAGAAATACAATGTGCACCGGAGGGGGGGGATCAACAATTCGCCGGCCCACGGGGACAGAGGCGTGCTAAGATCTCCCGTAAGTGGTTAACAATATCTTCTAGTTCGCGCGCGCGGGGCGGCTTCTGAGGGCTCCCAGACGAAAAGTACCCCGAGCAGGTCCTGGCCAATGCGGCTCAGAGATGGTTTTCCTCCTCGGCGCTGTCTTCCAGGCCTCCCAGAGCGCGCCAGGAACGCGCCAAGAAAGGCCCCGAGACGCCCCCCAGACGATCCAAGGGGCCCCGAGTCGCCGAAAGATTGCTCCAAGACGCCCATGCTAGTCTCAAGACGGCCCTAGACGCCGCCGAGAAGCTCCAAAAGAACTTCAATAGGCCATCCAAGAGGGCCCCAACAAGCAAAAATCGTCTCATCCCATTTGGAAAACGCACTTTTCTGGCATAGACGACGTTCGGCGCAGGTTCACAGCGCCCAAAACTGCCCAAGAGCCACCCAAGGTCGCCCCAAGATGGCCCAACATGCCCCCAAGATGCGCCCAAGAGGGCCCAAGAGGGCTCCAAGACGACCCAAGAAGGCTGCCTTCCAGGCCTCCCAGAGGGCTCCAGGAACGCGCCAAGAAGGCTCCGAGACGCCCCCGAGACGGTCCAAGGGGCCCCGACTCGCCGAAAGATTGCTCCAAGACGCCCATGCTGGTCTCCAGACGGCCCGAAACGCCGCCGAGAAGCACCAAGAGAGCTTCAATAGGCCCTCCAATAGGGCCCCAACAAGCAAGCATCTTACCATTTCCTAGGGAAAACGTGCATTTCTGGCATAGACAACGTTCGGAGGTTCACAGCGTCCGAGACTGCCCAAGAGCCCCCCAAGAGCCCCCCAAGGTCGCCCCAAGATGGCCCAACATGCCCCCGAGATGCGCCCAAGAGGGCCCAAGAGGGCTCCAACACGACTCAAGAAGGCTGCCTTCCAGGCCTCCCAGAGGATTCCAGGAACGCGCCAAGAAGGCTCGGAGACGCCCCGCAGACGGCCCAAGGGACCCCGAATCGCCGAAAGATCGCTCCAAGACGCCAATGCCGGTCTCCAGACGGCCCGAAACGCCGCCGAGAAGCTCCAAGAGAGCCTCAAGAGGCCCTCCAAGAGTGCCCCAACCAGCCAAAAACAAATCTTGAGAACACGTGCGTTTCTGGCATTGACGACGTTCGGAGGTTCATTGCGCCCAAGACTGCCCAAGAGCCCGCCAAGATCGGCCCAAGATGGTCCAACATGCCCCCATGATGCGCCCAAGAGGGCCCAAGAGGGCTCCAAGACGGCCCAAGAGGGCTCCAAGACGGCCCAAGACGCCCCCAGAGAGGGAACTCGAAATGACGTTTGAAGCTTTCCGACCCCGAGCGCCCCTCCGAGACCGCCAACAGGCTCCCAAGAAGCACCCAGAAGTCCCAAGAAGCCCCCGAAAGGCCCAAAATCAGGCCCCCAGGGCACCCAAACGGCATTTACAAGGCCTCAAGAAGCTTCAACACTGCCTCCAAAAGGCTCCCGCGACACCGGCCAGGAGACCCCAACACCGCCGCATCAAATGTCCCCTGCGCCCCATCGACAACCCCAGAGTGAGCATCTACGACCAGCAAGCCCCCACGGAGGAACCCGAAGTCCAGCAAAGCACCACACAGCAAGCCGGCCCGCGAAAAGCGACCGATTCCCTCGACAAACCCCAAGAAATCCAAACGAATTGCCCCAACATCATGCTCCACGCAAAGCCTCGGAAAACAGCCGACGCCCCTGCAGCTCAACACCGCCAACGACCACTCGGCCAGTCGACGCAGCAGTGCCCCAAAAATGGGCAGGCGGAATGAGCGAAGCGATTGAATAATTGTTCTTCATAGTGATGATCCAACAACAACAACAACAACAACAACAACCACAACAACAACAACAACAACAACAACAACAACAACAACAACAACAACAACAACAACAACAACAACAATCACGACAACGACAACGACAACAACAACAACCACAACAACAACAACAACAACAACAACAACAACAACAACAACAACAAAACAACGACGACAACAACAACAACAACAACAACAACAACAACAACTACTACTACTACTACTACTACTACTACTACTACTACTACTACTACAACCATCATTATCAGACTGTTCGCTCTTACTTGTCCGCCTGCCATTCAAAACGAGTTCCGCACAACCTCGATACCCGCCGTTTGTCTTCGATCACATCCCCTTTGGGGGGATTGTTTCTCTTCGTGGGGGGCGGCGGGCTTAGACAGGCGGGCAAACCTGAACGGGCGGACAATCCTTCGTGGGCGTACATGTGCCCGCCATTGGAATTGGTGCGGGCCCTGCAAAAAGAGAAGGGGGAGAACGAGGGAGAGTGTGAGGAAGGGAGGAGAAGGGACGAAGGAAGAGGGAAAACGCCAGGAGAAAAGGAGCGAAGAGGGGGGCGGTTGATTAGAGGCAGAGAGAGAGAGAGAGAGCGAGAGAGAAAGACGGATATGGGAGATAGAGAAAGAGAAAGAGAGAGAGAGAGAGGGAAGAGAGAGAAAGAAAGAGGGAGGAGGCAGGAGAGGGGAGGGAGAAGGGAGGAGGGAGGGGAGGGAGAGGGGATAGGGCAGAGAGGCATAAGCGATGAGGGAAAAGAGGAGGAAAAGAGAAGGGAGGAGAGGAGGGAGGAGGGAGGAGAGAGAGGGAGGAGGAGCAGGAAGGTAAGAGCGTGAACGTTCGAGGGAGTCCTAGGCGAAAGCGCCGTTCCTGAAGGAAGTCTCGGGCGGGAGCCCACGACGGGCGGGCGATCCCCTGACGGGCGGGTCGGGCGGGTGGGACATTCAAGCGGGATGCCAGAGTATGGCGAGCGCGCGAATACTAAGTAAATTGTAACGGCGTCCTTGGCGCAGCGTGTTTCCTGCGCCGACAGCGCGATGTCTGAATAAATTGCATGGAGATCACAGGCGAGAGCGCAATTCCTGCATAAAATGTGAAGCGCTCCCTGGCGGGAACGGGGGTCTTGATTAAATTGCGAGGAAGCCTTGATTCAATTGCGAGGAAGTCTCAAGCGGGAGCGCCGTTCCTGAGTAAATTGTGAGGAAGTCTCAGATGGGAGCGGGGGTCCTGACTAAATTGCGAGGAAGTCACAGGCGGGAGCACCGATCCTGAGTAAATTGTGAGGAAATCTCAGGAGCGGGGGTCCTGAGTAAATTTGGAGGAAGTCTCAGTACGGAGCCGTTGTTGTTGAAATCCGGGGGGCCAGGGGCACATTTTGAGCACCAAGACTTTCCCTGTCAAGACATCGAATGCGAGCGTCGCGGGGCACACTTTGATTGAGAAAAAACAGCATGCACCGGTGAGAGGGATCAACCATAATTATTGTTTTAAGAAGTGAGAGTTCAACAATAACAACAACAACAACAACAACAACAACAACAACAACAACAACAACAAGAACAACAACAGCAACAACAACAACAACTACAACAACTACAACAACAACAGCAACAGCAACAGCAACAGCAACAGCAACAACAACAGCAACAGCAACAGCAACAGCAGCAGCAACAACAACAACAATCATTATAAGAATGTCCGCTCTTATCTGCTCGAGTGTCCGTTAACGCGTATTTCCCAAACCCTCGATACCCGCCCTCTTCGTCTTCGATCGTACCCCTTTTGGGGGATAGACCTTTCTTCCACTTCCCTGCTCACAACAGCTCGCTGAGGAATCGGTAATCACAAGGCTGGCCGGATGCGCAGTGCGTCAGTGATCTCACACGCGCGTGTAACGACGATGCGGCCACTCAGGAAACCATAGCTGACAACGGAAGGACCTCTCACATCGCCAAAGCCAACGCGACTCCTGAGGATGCATCACGAGATATGAGCTTCACATCCCCTCCTTGTGCGAACTCTTGGAGGGGGATTCGAGAGGTGCGCAAGGAGGCCGCCCCAACTCGACAACTGCCCGAGAGCCCTTGAGAATCCCACAACACTTCCTACCAGGGATGAAGGGGCATGGAGTTGTTGCCAGCCACGGCTTGCTACGCAGATGCAGCATCTGTTCACGACGCACACGTCGACTGTGCTCTCGCAATGCACAAACTAAATTCACCAAGTGGTGGTTCGGTACATCGGCTCTCCCCCCAAAAAAACTGAATCCCGCTTGTGGACGGCACTACTCCGCCACCATACCCCCACCACAAGAGGTCGGGACCCCAGGGTCGCCAGTGGGTGGAGCGTCCAAGCAGCCTAAGATGAGGCCAAGATCCTTGAAACATACCGCTTCTCCTTTGTCTGTACTCTCTGGCGTTTTCGACTTCGAGGCTCCATACGGCCTCTGCGCGATCATCACAGGGCCCGGCTTAGATCTATTATTATGGTGGCTTGACTCGTATCCAACCTCGTTGCTCCACCCACGCTCATTCAATCCCCTTCTCACGGCAACTCGCTTAGGAATCGTTTCTGGACGAGCTGGTGAGTGCACGCAAGGCGTTAAGGCGCAAGGCGACAGGGCTTCTCTGCATCAGGTCCCGCAGAACAATACACGCATCTTAACCAGAAGAGAGATGAGCACACCAGAGAGAAAGTGCCATGGTTGGCTGCTCTGGTCTCGAGTCCTTGCCTGGCCACGCTGTCATGGCACATCCTGCCTTGCCCACCTTCCCGACTCCCCCCTCCCACATCGCTTCCCAGCGAGGCTGTCCTGGCCCATCTCCCATCAACTCGGCTGCGATGTTCGGAGACGTGCGCGCGAGCGGTCCTGCCCAGCGTTCGCCGGCGCTCTCTTCGACCCTCGTGCTGGGCGGCAGTGCAGGGCGGCAACGCTGCTGACGATAGCGGGAACGATGGCAAGGCTTCGGCAGCACAGGGCAGAGCCAGCGAGCCCGACGTGGGAGACCAGACGACAGGGAGGACAATCGCAGGGGCCGGCTGTGGAGTTGCAGTCACGAGACTGGACCGACGACCAACGCAACCAGTTCGAGGGAAACGGCCAAGAGGTCACGGGTGGCACTCGAGGCCCTGGCAGGGTGACTTGCTCAGGACGTGGCTCCTGGGAGCTCTCAACGCTGCACGGTTTCCCCCGGGGCCATAGGCGACCCAAGGAGGAGGAGGAGGAGGAGGAGGAGGAGGAGGAGGAGATGGAGGAAGAGGAGGAGGAGGAGGAGGAGGACGGGTTGCCTAAGCCCTTCGGAGAAACCCTCCACTCAACGCCGTCCCAATTCTAGGCTTTCGGCGCGGGGGTCGTTTTTTGCAAGTCCCAGGGACCCGAAAACGGGCCCTGCACGCCAAAATCGGGAGGAAACGTACGGCGTTTAAGCTCGCGACGCCTGGGGCTGGGGATGACCCGTATAACCCACACAAAATGCCACGACTAGCACTACTACCACTACGAGCACTACAACTGATACTACGACCACTACGACTAGGTCTACTACGCTTACCACTACTACAACTCCTGCTACGTTTAGTAGTACTACTGCTACTACCGTTACCATTACTGCCGGTTAGACATCGAACGGATCGCAACTGCTTTTCCAAACTTCAGTTGGGAGGCTCAAGGGAGCTCACTACATCCAAAAGCGCTCTCATGCTCTCTCCCCTGATCGAAGCTCCCCTGAAGCGTCGCAGCCACCTCGGACCGACCGCAGCTGGTTGCAATCGGTCCGAAGCGGTTCCTATCGGGGAGACGTAAGACTCGGGTAAGGGGGACTCGGGTTGGCCTGACGGGGCCATCATGAAAATGACGAGACCCAATCTGAAATTTGACGCGACCTCCCGCTGCAAACGTCCCACGAAAACTGGACCGTCAAAGAAAAACGCCGGCTACAACCCGAGTTCCGGCTTACTCGGGCCTTGCGTTTCCCTGATCCTAAACGGCCCGAAGCGGCGGCGATCGGTCGTGCCGCCCCTCCCCCCCCGCCCCCGCCGCCCCCGCCGCGGGCCTGCTCCCGGACGGGCCCGCGGCGGAACCGCCGCCGGGGCTGCCGCCGCCGCCGCCTCGCCGGGCCCCCGCGGCTTCCGAGGCGGGCGCGCGGCGGGGCCCCGAGGGGGGAGAAAACCCCGAGACGAGGCAGGCCGGCCGGAGAGCGGCCGCGCTGGGCACGGGCCGCCACGGCACGCCAGGGAAAATGTCCGCGGCCGACCCGCAGGAGCACGGCCGAGGCACCGACACAGATGACTACCTACCAGGCCACCCCAACCCAACCCGAAGACCCGAATTTCGGGTTGGGGGGGGGGTACGGGTTCCAGATGTGTTTTCTCGATGTTCCCCGACCCCCCCCCCACTGGAAATGGAGGTCAATTTGAGGCCTTCGGGATGGGTTGGGGTGGTTTGGTGGGTGGTGAACAGAGAGCGTCGGACTGCTGTTCCGCAGATCTGGCGAGACCCAGGTCCAGGGGCAAAAAACAACACCACTCTCGCCGGATCTCGCCGATTCGGTTCTCAGGGCTGGGGCATCGGCAGAGAAAGCGTGAGGCTGCGCCGGAGCCACGGAAGCGAGCCAGGACGGAGCACGGGGACGCGCCGCACGGTCCAGCGGACGGGTGCAGCCCCCACTCGTTCTCAGCACCCTCGGCCCCAGAGTCTCAACCACCGAAGCTTCGGGGGCCGAGGCCTCCAGAGGACCCGCCCAGAACAGACTTTTCTCTTCCCAAGGAAGCGCTCTGGCATCTCACTCCTCCTGCTCCTCCTCCTCCTCCTCCTCCTCCTCCTCCTCCTCCTCCTCCTCCTCCTCCTCCTCCTCCTCCTCCTCCTCCTCCTCCTCTTCCTCCTCCACATCCTCATCCTCCTCAGGCGGCTCCAGCGGGTGGCAGTCATCAAATAGGTGACCTGCGACTCTTGGAGACCGCTGTGGGAGTTCGTTCGGGGCGGGGGCGAACCCGTCCCGGAAAACCCCTCCAGGATGGTTGCTTGGGGGCATCCTGGAGGGGGGGTCTGGTGTTCGGGGGAGGGCAAAGGGGTTCGAGGAGGGCTTCTCTTGCAAAACCCTCCCGAAATGCGAGCGCGAGTGGAAAACAGCCAGGCAAACCCCTCCTGACCTCTCCTGGACAAAAGAGTTGTTTGGATCCTGGAGGGGGGAGTCGTTCAAAAAAAAACCCTCTGGAAGGGATTTGTTCGTTCCTGGAAGGGGGGCTCGTTCGAAAAAACCCTCCAGGAGGGTTTCTATGGATCCTGGAAGGGGGATTCGTTCCAAAAAACCACTCCTGGAGGGGTTCTTTGGATCCTGGAGGGGAGGCTCGTTCAAAAAAAAACTCCAGGAGGGTTTGGGGGGGATCCTGGAGAGGAGATTCTTGCAACAAAAACCTCGAGGAGAGTTCTTTCCGCAATTAGACTTGTCCAAGGGGTTCTTACTTGGTTAAAAATTGTTGCCTCGGGGTCAGCATGTAAAAGGAGAAATGGCCACTACGCACCCCAGCAAGAAAACACGAGAAGCATCCCAATCAATTCTGTACTTGCACTACGTGGCGCGTGCGGGGCACGAGCAAGAATGGATATCACAGCCTCCCAGAAGATGGGGGCGCGCCCATAGGGGGCCCTCGAGCTGCAAGGAAACAGGGTGGAAGGCATGCAAGGGGGGGATGGAGGCGAGCTCGGGCCACCGTCACAGGCGCCAGGTCGAACGCGCACCGAAGCTCGGGCCGACACCGTGACGCTCGTCGTCTCCCGGCAGGGGTGAGGTGCAAGCAGGGCGAGGGCGACCCCGTCCAGCACAGCCCGAGGACGCGGGGGCCTGCTGGTCTTTCTTGGCGTCGTGCAGGGGGGGGCAGGGGCAGGGGGGAAGTCTAGGAGGCGGCCGGCCCTACATCTGCAGAGAAGGTGCGCGCCTTCTAAGAAGAAGGGGGGCTTCCAAGAAGCCTTCCCTCCTCCACAATCAGAAAACAATATGAAAACTACTCCCCTCTCTCCCCTGGTGGCGTCCGAGAAGTGGCTGGCCCCCCTCCGCGCACTGGTTCTTGACACACAGGATTCCCGGGAAACGGATTTTCGCTTGGGATTTTTTCCAAAATGCTGATCTCGCTGAGGCGCTGGCCTCATGTTCGGGCTACCGTTGGTTCCGAATCGTGCTCCTGTTGCTGCGCTGGCCTCATTTCCGCGCTTCCGCTCGGTCCGAATCGTGCTCCCCCTGCCGCGCTGGCGTCATTACTTCCAGCGCCATGCCACGGTATGGTTTTCGATCCTTCTCAATGGCCCCAAAATCTAGAAAATCCCCCCCCGACAAAAACCATCGGAAGTGATTATACATTCGGTGTCGGTTCGTTGATTGTTTGCGCAGCAGAAGCCCCCCCACTTTTGGGCGTCGCCACGCCATGCTATGTCAGGCTACGCGTCCTCATTTCCGCGCTTCCGCGCTTGGGTTGTTTTTTCAAAATGCTGCTCTCGCTGAAGCGCTGGCCTCATTTTCGGGCTACCGCTCGTTCCGAATCGTGCTCCCGCTGCAGCGCTGGCCTCATGTCCGCGCTTTCGCTCGGTCCGAATCGTGCTCCCGCTGCAGCGCTGGCGTCATTATTCCCAGCGCCATGCCACGGCATGGTTTTCGGTCCTCCAAATGGCCTAATGCCCCCCCGAAAAACCATCGGAAATGATTACACATTCGGTGTCGGTTCGTTGATTGTCTTGGCCGCAGAGGCCCCCGACCTTTGGGGCGTCGCCACGCCATGCTATGTCAGGCTACGCGTCCTCATTTCCGCGCTTCCGCGCTTGGCTTTTCCCCGAAATGCTGCTATCGCTGAGGCGCTGGCCACATTTTCGGGCTACCGCTCGTTCTGAATCGTGCTCCTGCTGGAGCGCTGGCCTCATTTCCGCGCTTCCGCTCGGTCCGAATCGTGCTCCCCCTGCCGCGCTGGCGTCATCATTTCTAGTGCCATGCCACGGCATGGTTTTCGATCCTTCCAAATAGGCCCCAAAATCTAGAAAATGCCCCCCCCGAGAGAACCTTCGGAAGTGATTACACATTCGGTGTTGATTCGTTCATTTTTGGGGCCGCAGAAGCACCCCCCCCCACTGTAGGGCGTCGCCACGCCATGCCATGTCATGCTGCTACGCATCAATCTTCAACACCATGTTATGCCATGCAGTGCTACGCCATGCTACGACATCCGATTGTGCGAATAGGGAGGAGATCTGCGCCATGGTAAGGGATGGGAGGGAGGGGTAGGACGTCAGATCTGACGCGAGCGCACCTAGCTTGCCCTGCCCCCCTCTGCGCGTGGCTGACCAGCGCAGCCCGCGGATGCGGGGACCTGCTGGTCTTTCACTTGCGGGCTTCACGCTTCCCTGGCCGAGTCCGGTCAGACACGGCCCCGCTCGGTCGACGGGCGCAACCGGCGAGGCGGGTCGCGTCTCTCGCAGGACGGGCTCCTGCCCCCCTCACATCCCCAGAGTGACGCGGCAGAGCTCGCTCCAGGCCACAGGCCAGCCCACCAGAGGGGGAAGAAGGAGAGAGGGAGGCGAGTGCGTTTCTGCTCGCACATCCTCAGGCCCATGTTGGTTTTTCGGGTGGAACCGTCTGAGGCGGACCCCCAGGGCCGTGGCCTCCAGGCACAAGCCGCTCCCACGCGGCGCCGCCGCACGGGTAGTCTGACCCTTGCGGCCTCGAACACAAGCAAGGCAAAGAAAGCACACACACACACACACACACACACATACACACACACACACACACACACACACACACACACACACACACGCGCACGCACGCACGCACGCACACGCACACGCACACGCACACGCACACGCACACGCACACGCACACGCACACGCACACGCACACGCGCACGCGCACGCGCACGCGCACGCGCGCGCACTTTTTTCGGGCGTTGCGGGCGGGCCATTCGCCACACCGTTGGGCGCGCGGCCGGCGGCCGAGCGCGCAGCAAGCCGGGGGCCAAAGGAGGGGCGAGGAGGGGGCCGAGAAGAGCGAGACGGCCGCCCCCTCACGGGGCAGCGGCCGGCAGCGGCGCCGGGACGCCGGGGCAGCGAGGCAGCGGGCAGGCGCCGACGCGCGGCGTGGGCGGCGAGGAGGCGGCAAGCCGCTGGGCGGGGCGCCAGGGCGGGGCGGGGCAGCGCGGTGCAGAGGCCAGGCGGGCCCGAGGGAGGACGGCAGGGGGCCAGCACGGCCAGGGGAGAGGAGGGCCGAGCAGGGAGGGGGAGGAGCGAGGGGCGAGGAGCGGCAGCGGACAGCCGAGGGGGGGAGACGGAGGGACGCGAGGGACACGGGCCGGCCGGCGAGGAGGGGGGAGCCCGAGGGGGAGGGGGAACCAAAGAGGGGGAGGGGAGGGCACACCGCACGCCCCACACGGGCCAGGCGAGCCACGGAGAGGGGAAGGAGCCCGCCGCGGCGGCAGGCGAGAGGGGGGAAGGAGGCACAGCACTATAGGGAAACGAGCAGCGACAGAAACATAGAAACTCGGAGGCCCGCGCGGGTTTCTCGGATCGGCGTTGGACCCCCCGTCCCAGGCGCGCCGAGCGCCCCAAGGGGCGGTGCTGGAGGCGCCGCCAGGGGTCTCCGGAGCCGATCCGAGAAATCCGCGCGGGCCTCCGATTCTTTCTGTTTATGTCATTGCCTGTTTCCCGAAGCACAGAGGCAGGGGGGAGAGGGGAGGGGCCACGGGGCGGGCAGGGGCGGGCCGTCCTGGCGAGGCCGCGCTTCGGGACTGGACCGCGGGAGGGAGGGCGGCACGGGGGAGAGGGGACGACGAGGACTAGAGGGCAAAAACTCAACCCCAGAATGACCGCCCAGACAAGCAAGGCTGTCTAGTAAACGCACACAAAGAAGGAATCGAACAGGGCAGGGCGGTTAGGGAACGCCCAGGGCCGTTTAGTAAACGCCGATTGTCGGGTCCGGGTGGTTTTTCTTCCCTTGGACGACGGGAAAAGGAAGGGACGAGGCGCACGGGAAAGAGAGAGAGAGAGAGAAGAGTGCGCCCGCGGCATCTGACATCCTGCGGGAGGAGGCTGGCCCTCCAGGATGGGGGGGGCGGCACGGCGAGAGGAGGGGACGCCGACGACGGGAGAGCCGAGGGCGACGTGCTGACGACCCCCCGCACGGGGAGCGGCTTGCCCCCCCGCCAGCGGGAAAGGGAAAGGAGTGCAGCAGCGCCTGCAGTCCAGAGGGACCCGCAGAGCCCCCCCCGGCACGGAGGGCGGGAACCCCCCGCCAAAGGGTGAGAAGCAACCCCCCGCACGGGGAGCGGCTTGAGTGCAGCAGCCTGTCCGACCCGGAGGCACGGAGGGCGGGAGCCCTCTGCGGGAATGGACGACGACGACGACGACGACGACGACGACGACGACGACGACGACGACGAAGAAAGACGACGAGGGAGGTCCCGTGGCAGTTGATGCCGCCTGGACCCGCATTGTGAAAGAAGAGAGCAGCAGCAGGCTGCAGGCAACGTGTTCCAGAAGAAGACTTTACGCGCGCTGCGGGTCGTCACATCACGAGGAGGGGAAGGAGGAGGAGGAGGAGGAGGAGGAGGAGGAGGAGGAGAGGATGGAGGAGGAGAGGAGGAGGGGAGGAGGAGGAGGAGGAGGAGAGGAGGAGGAGGACGACGACGAGAAGGAGGAGGAGGAGGGGAGGAAGAGGAGGAGAGGAGGAGGGAGGAGGAGAGAGGAGGAGGAGGAGGAAGGAGGAGGAGGAGGAGGAGAGGGACCTCTCCCCGGGAACTCTCCTCAAAAGAGCGCGCGCTCGAGGCATCCGACATCTTGCAAGAAAGGCAGGGAGGGCCCTCGGGAAGGGTGGGTGGAAGGCACGGCGAGGAGAGGACGACGACGACAACACTCCTCCTCCTCCTCCTCCTCCTCCTCCTCCTCCTCCTCCTCCTCCTCCTCCTCCTCATCCTCCTCCTCCTCCTCCTCCTCCTCCTCCTAGGGGGGACGAGGGGAAGGGAGAGAAACGCGCCCCATAGGACCACTTCATGCACGTTGCACGGGTGGGCAAACAAACCTGTAGCAGACCGATCATCACGAGATGGTTGCTGCATTCTGAATATGAACAAGGCTGACTCTGGCCTAGGGCCCACAAACGTTGAAGATGATGACCGAAAAGAAATCGGTCTCGAACCAGTTGAACATCATGATGATGTAGTTACGCCAAAATGGGTGTGAATTCATTGTCATGTGTAGCCAGGCGCTGGTGGCCAAAGACGCACGGCCGGCAGCCATGTAGCCACCGATGGACATGCAGGAGAAGAACTCCGCCAAAGGAAAGGAACAGAAAGAAGTCGGCCGTGGGACAGATGAGAACTCAACGACCAGCGATTTATAGAGGACGCAACGCCCCGGGGTGCTGACGAAGCAGAAGTGCGTGTCTTGACCTCTGATTCCACGTTGAAGGCGCCAACCGGGGAAGGGATTACCCACCCATCCCGCGGGCGTCGGCACGATCCCATGGCACGAGCACCTTCCGACAGCCAGGATGAAAAATAGAAGGCGGCACAGTAGCCAACCGGGGAAGGGATAACCCACCCATCCCGCGGGCGTCGGCCAGTAGCCGAGAACGGCGGCACAGGGATGTCGAAGAGACGATACATGCACGCGAACGTCGTGAACGCCTACGCGCCCCCGATGGGGTATCATGATAAGGTAATGCTATGCGTACGTGAATGCCCTCGACGGGCCGGCCATACGTGATGACCCAGTTCATGTAGCCCTCCGTGGCATACTTGTCAAAAGGTGGTTCCCCCGGTCGAGCACTAAGATAAAAAAAGGTTCATGACAACTCTCAGCGCCTCGCGGATGCGAGGCCCAACCACACGGGTTCGATACCGAGGACGTAGTTGTCGTAGTGGTCCATCACGAGATGGTCGAAGCAACATCGAGGCCGCACGGAGAACGCCGCACAGGTTGACCTGCGATAGGCAAACTCGCGCACTGAACCCGGGCATAACCAATCGGCGGGCCGTGCCGCCAAGGACAAAGTGCGGAAGGGAAAGGGAGGGCCCGCTGGGGCCCACGAGCGCACTCTTATGGCTGAGCCTTGTCCCCTCCCATCAAATCTCCTGGCACCTGGCCCAGCTGGGCCAGCTGCCAATGCCTTGAGAGCGCCACGGGCCCCCCCCACACGGGGCTGCCCGACACGAACAGATGAAGGAGGGAAGAGGGTAGGCACACACACACACACCAACCAACCAACCAACTAACCAACCAACCAACCAACCAACCAACCAACCAAACAAACAAACAAACAAAATGCACACACATATGCATACACAGACACACACACACACACACACACACCTGCGTCCTCCACCGAATCCACGTCCAGGCTGTTTTGGACCTCCAGGTCTTCCAGCCTGTCCTCGCCGAGGCTCTCGCCCTGGTCCTCGTCCAGACCAAACTTGCGCTGGTACAGGCCCTCCAGGTGACGAGCCTGTTCTCCCAGAAGCGCTCGCCCACGCCCAGATCTAGGCCAAACATGCGCATTGTGCAGGCCCTTCAGGTCCTCCAGCCTGTCTTCCAGCCTGTCCTCGCAAAGGCTCTCGTCCTCGTCCAAGTCCAGGCGGAGCTGGCGCTTGTGCAGGCCCTTCACACCCTCCAGCCTGTCCTCGCAAAGGCGCGCGCCCACATCCAGGTCCAGGCCGACCGTGCGGTTGCATAGGCCTTCCGGGCCCTCCAGCCCGCACCTCGACCCGGCATGCACGCAGTACGCCCCCGGCGGCCGCTCCTCCACGGGGAGCCCCCACGGAGGAAGCACGACGCCGAGAACGGGCCGGCTGGCTGCCGCCGTGGGCCACGTCGCAGCCGCGCAGCAGCCGCACCAGCGGCCTCTGCTTGGCAGCACCGCCACTGGCCACGCAGCATCTCGCCACCTGCCGGGGCCCCGTCCAGGCCGCCGCCGCGGAGCGGCACGCCCAGGAGGCGCCCGGCCCCAGCCGCGCCCACGGCCGCCCCCCTCGCGGCAGCGCACGCCACCTTGAGAGAGGAACGGCCTTGAGCCAAAGGCTTGCGCCAAAACTTGAGCCAGGGTTACGGACACACACACACACACACACCTTTTGCGTCGGCGGCTAAACAGGGGACGTCTGCGCTCGCGGATGGATATAGCTAAACAGGGGGGCCGTTAGAGCGAAAATTGTGCGAATTACCATGCAGGAGGGGGACGAGGCGGAAGACGCGGCCGAACGAGAGGGCGGGGGGAGCGAGCCACTCAGAGGGACGGGTCACGCCCCGAGCGCGTTGCCCGGCCAGCCCCGCGGGCGGGCCCGCGGCGGCTGCTGCACCAGGGGGCCCGCGGCGGCGGGGCGCAGTGCGCGGCGGGGCGCAGTGCGCACTGCACAGTGCACGGACACACACACACACACACACACACACACACACGCACACACACACACACACACACACACACACACACGCACGCACACACACACACACACACACACACACACACACACACACACACACACACACACACACACACACACACACACACACACACACACGCACACACACACACGCACACACGACCGTAAGGAGGATAGACCGACCCTTGCGGCCGCAAAAGGGAGGCAACGTGATGAGACTGGCCTCTGCCACCGTGCAAAGAAGGCCAGATGCTGCCACCGAGCCCAAGCGAGCGAGCGGGAACAAGTGACCGCCTGCGCAGACGGGACTTCGAGGCCAGCGGGACTGGGCTGGCATGCGCGAAGGCCCACCCGGGCGCCTGCGTACGGCAGCTCCTCCTCCCCCGCGTGCAGCGCCCAGTCGTCGGGCGAGGCGCCAGCCTCGTCCGCCTGCGCAGGCCGCAGGCCTCGGCATGGTGCCCCCCGCGCCGCCGCCGCGGTCGGCGAACGCAAGTCTCGCTGCACTCCGATCCGACCAGGGTGGCCCTGCCCCTCGTGGGGGCGCGCAGCCCCCCCCCCCCCTCCAAAAAAAACAGTCAGAACGGCCCATGCGGATCCCAGACAAGCGTCCTCCGAAATCGAAGCTTGCTGACCACTTGGGGTGCTCCTTGCATCTGGGAGGTCTGCTGGTCGTTTCGGTTGCCACTTTGGGCCGCCAAGGTCAAGAGTTGGCGGCGAGCGAGGGGGGAAGAGAGAAGGAAAAGGCTTTCTCAGAAGGCTCGGAAGTGCCCAGGCCGTCTGAGAAGATCGCTGAGCCGTCTGCGAAGCTATGCATAGAACTTCTCAGATGGCGCGAGGGCTTCTGAGGGGCTTCTGAGGGGCCCCGCCGCCTTCTGAGAGGGCCTTCTCCTTATGATTGTCCCCCCCTCGCTCGCCTCCGAACTTCGGGCCAAGGTCAGGAAGTCGTCCAAGCATCCACTCGCTCCGTTCCTGGCCAGGGCCGCTCCCGGGCCCAGCATCGGTGGATTCGCCCACCGTGCTCCGAAGACCAAGTTTAGGTCTGGCATGTCCTCCTACAGGCGGGCTTTGGCAAAATTCAAAATAGCCCAAACATATCCAAACGTAGCCAAACATAGTCAAAAAATCGTCCCCTGACTATCTGCTTAACTACTTTCGAATACTCCTCCTGCAGGAGGGACATGCCCGACTTAAGACCAATCGCTCGGGGGGGCCACCGCCCGCCCCGACGCCCCAGCATGGACCAAGACGTCGCGAGCCAGCGCCACGCGACCCAAAGCGGACCGCACCCCCGCGCGGGGTGCGGACGGGGCTTCACTGGCTCCCGGAGGTGTTGGGGGGGGGGACTCTTCAGAAGAAGGAAAAAAAACATACACATCAACTTTTGGCGCTCCGCGCAGACTTCGTGGATCCGTGCCGGACCCTCCTCCCTGGCGCGCGGGGCGCGCCAGGAGCGGCGCCTGCGCGGATCCAAGAAACCCGCGCGGAGCGCCAGAAATTTATGTTTATGGCGTTTTGATATGTCTCGATTCTTCTTGAGCGCCGTAAACGAAGACGACCCTGAACGCAGTGGGGCCACTGCACCCAGGCCTGCGCCATGAAAGTAGCGGGGGGGCGGCCTGGATAGTTTACATGATCTTCCGAATAGCCCGCCTGCGCACTGGGAGGCTGCCGTGGTACAGTAAGTTATTGCAGATGGGTTTAGCTCAATGTCCTCCTCATCTCGTCGTTGCCGCTCTCCCCTCCCCCTCTCCCTCCTCCCCCCGGCCTTCCACCATGACGCCCCTTTGCTGATGTAACGTCAACAGCCAGCCGCTGGCACGCTTGCACTCAGCCGCGATGTTTTTCCGCGTGAATTTTCAGGGCCTCCGTTAGGTCGGGCATGTCCCCCTGCAGGTGGATTTGGGGCGAAAAATGAATAGTCACAACCAACAAAATGTCAAAAATCCGCCGATCCGGCGTGTGAGTTTCAAGGAGTCTCAGCTACAGCCTCGAGGCTGAGCCTCAGCCTCTGGGGGGGTTGCCGGGGTGGCTCTGCCGGGGAAGGGGGGATGGGGGGGGGGGGGCGAGTTTCCGGCGGATGCGGGGCGCTGCTTTTACAGAAGGCTCTAATCTCGAGGATGCGCTGGAAGGGTGGCCGCGGCCGCAAAAGTCTCTGAGGACGGTCTACGAAAGTCCCGAGACCCCGAAGGATCGCCCGAACACGCCCAAGATGGCCCCAAGACGGCCCAAGAGCCTTCCACGACGTCTGAAGAGGCCTCCAAGAGGCCTCCCACGATGGCCCCCAGAGGCAAAAATCGTTGATTCCCATTGGTTTTTTTCCATGTTTTTGGGGTTATCGCTTTTTTCGGCTTTCCGACGCTCCAAGACGGCCCAAGAGGCCCCCAAGACCGCTCGAAGACGGCCCAGGAGGCCCCCAGACAGTCCCAAGACGGCCCAAGAGGGCAACAAGGCGGCCCAAGAGCCGCCCAAGACGGCCCAACAGGCCCCCAAGACGGCCCCAAGAGGACCCAAAAGAGAAACGAAAAGCGTAAAAAATCTAGCCTTCCAGCCCACGAGGCCCCCAGGAGGCCCCAAGAGCCTCGAAGAGGGCCTCCGAAAGCCCCCAAGAAGCCCCCACGACGCCCTGACAGGCTCCTAAGATGGCTCAAAAAACGCCCCAAGAGGGCGTCCTTGCGCCGATAGGCTCGCCTCCACCGCTCGCACCACATCGTCCAGGCCACATGTTTCGTAACACGACTCCGTGCACGACGCATCGTGAGTTTCCAAAGTGATCGGCATCCTGTATGGAATTTTCATGTCATTATTATTCCCCGTCCCCACGGTCACTGCAAGCACCCCGCCGTTGATAGAACCACTGTTGCGAGATGGCTCTATTGACCCAACTGCATTCCTACGCCCTTTCGAAGGTAACCCGAGAAATTTGTGCGTTTGAGTGCGCGCCGATAATATCTGCGTCTGGAGAATAACACCGAGCGACCCGGATCGGCGGCACTGGCCGAAGGCCACTACAATAGGCAGAAAATCGTCCCCTGAGATTTTTGGCTATTTTTGCACATTCTTCCTGTAGAGGGACGTGCCCGACTCAAGGCCTCTGCTATCATACACATGTCTGCCGATGCGCCGTTTGGGCGCGGCCCCTTCTGTCTGCCTGTTCTGCCAACAACACCGAACACACACACACACACACACACACACACACACACAAACACGCGCCCTGCGCTGGGAGCAGCCGACAGCGGGCGCGCGAAGCCCGGGGCGGGCGGCTGAGTGTGACGCCCCACGCCTCCGCGCTCGCGCCGCGGTTCTTCGGCCTGCCGGCGGGGAAGGGGCAGCGGCGGGGGCGGCAGGGGCGCCCCAAGCCGACGCGCCCGCGCCACGATCCAAAATTCGCAGTGGGTGGGAACGCTGCAAAAGCGCAGGCTGGTGATGGAGGGCGCGCGAGGCAGGAAAAGCGGCTCCGGAATGTGGATAAGCTGGTTTCCTTCGACGGTGCTGAGTAAGATCGCCTCTCGCAGTCACGCGGCCTGCCGAGACGCCTCAGCTCGACCGCAGGCGTTCGTAGCCCGTCGGTTCTTCAAGGTCATGTTCCCGACTTGTTGGTGCACCACACATATTCTCCCCCCCTAAACTATCACAACTATACTTTCTCTTTCGCAGCGCAGCACCCACCTCCCAGTTTCTTGTTCGCAATGAAAAACTAGCTACTTAGCTGCGGCAACTAGGCACGCCCACGATTACTCCCAGTGCCGATGTTTCTGCTCTTCTCCGCTGCGTTGACGCTGGCACTGCCGCCAGAGCACGATGCGGGTAGGCAACAGCCACTGATTCCACTACGATCACCTGACTTCGCGCTTCGTGCTGCGCGAAGCGTGATTGTTTTTGCGCCCGTGCACGTGACCTCGACGAACCCCTGCCCAACTGCGGCTGAAAGGCGAGACGTCCGTACGCCGGTTGTCGTGGCGCCGACGCTTCGTCCCCGAGCCAATGTCTGACAGCCACCCCTCTTCTTTCTCCAATGCCCAACCACAGTGTGCTTCCAAATGTGGGGAAAATGGAAGTAGGAGGGGGCGGAGGCTCGAGACCTGACACCCCCCAAGTCTCTGACGTCGCGAAGTGAAAAAGAAACGGCGTCGTCAAAAGTCACGACTGTATCCCACAACCACATCTACGTGGGGGAACTGTTGGGCTGGATGGCTCCAGGTAGGTCCGTGGGCCATAGACGAAGCAAAGCCACCTGGAGGTCAGATTAAGCCGATCCCCCTCTGCTGAAGCCCTCCTCTGAAGCCCTCTGGGAATCTCTCAAATTTTGCGAGAAGCCCCGCTGGCTACCCAAGATCCCCCACAACCCCACGACCTCGAAAACCTCCGCTAGAACACCCTCAAAGCTTCACCACCACAGCGCCACGATCAACATCATCACCATCATCATCAGCAGCGGCAGTAGCAGGCACCAACACCACCACTATCATCAACATCAACATCAACAACATCCTCATCATCATCGTCATCACCCTCGTCGATAAAGATCATCATCATCATACTCATCATCATCATACCCATCATCACCACAATCATCGTCATCATCACCAACACGATCCTCATCTTAATACACATCAGTGTTGTTGTTTGACAGCGGTTCGCACGTCCCGCCGACCAGCCGAAAATAGTTTGAAGCAAGAGAGCCATGCCATTGTAGTACTGGTGGCACGGCGGAGATGACGGAAAGATGGCGACGGCACGTGATAAGGGCCCTTTGCACTCCTGGCGCCGCAGATTAAGCGCAAGCAGCGTCGCCAGCACTGACAGATCGGGCGACGCTGCCGTTGAGCCCGGACGGCAGCAGAATAGGCAAGCACGCTATGTCCCCCCTTTTTCGGGGCATTCCCTCGAAGTCGAGAGGGGGAACGAATCCTGATCGCTGCTGTCTCTATAACTTGCAGGCTCGATTACAAGAGCTGCAAAGAGACAAAAAAAAAACGCGGGCACGAAGCACTGGGTCATGTTTCCACGAACCAGGCAGCTCAGCGCCGAAGCGCAACATGGAGTA